ATATATATATATATATATGTAAAGAAAACCTTTAAATAACAAATGTTTCAAACAACAAAGGTTAAAACCAAAATAGGCAAACTTACAGCAAAGGCCAGTACAGATTTAAAACTTCTCTATACTGGCCCCCCAAAAAATCACCTTAATAGTGTTTTGTTTTTGTTTTGTTTTGTTTTTTCTATAAAACATGTCAGAGCCACAGTCTTCTTATTCTAATTGCAAGCATTTCATTCCTGTTTCTTAGAATCCATTTCATGGGGTTCTGGAGAAAATCTGCTTCATCTTTTCTTAAATGGACGTGAAAAAAACTCCAGAGCAGTTGGACTGACGCGAGCAAAATAACTGAGGCGATTCTTCATTGATGATAAAGGAAATCCAAAGGAAGTCTGAATGCATGTGTGACTCTTATTTACAGGCAGCTATGTGTGTCTTGATCCCTGTTAAACCAGCTTTGGATTGTACTGTGTGGAACAACTCAGAGCGGATATTCTTTATAACTGACAATACATTGTCATGCAAAAGTGAAGTCTTTAAAATCTTAATCACTGCCTGCAAACTAAGGACCAAAAACCAAAAGGCAGAAACACAGACAAAAAGCACATTTCTGCCCATCTTAGGAATCATTACATGAAAATAAATCAAACATGATGTCTTTAAGTTTATGACTATTGTGAGTCATGTCCTTTGGCTGCGGAGCTACATGCATGCAACAAGAAATTTAAAGAAATTGTTTTTTTGCATGCCTCTAATCTGGAATGCTTTAAATCTATGCCATTCTTTTACATGAAGTCTCCAGAGACAAATCTGTCATCAAGGTTTTCCCTATCTTGAAATCTTCTTATTGTGTGATTGTCTGAAGCTTTGTTGAGACTATAAATTATTTGAGCCACACCAGCTTAAATAAGGCTTTTTGACTGATAAACTTGCCATCTGTCTAAGAGAATAAAAGAGCTGTCAGCTTAAAAGTACTTCAATCAAATATTTGCACTGATCAGAACTAAAAAAAACAAAGAAAAGCCAAAACTGGAAAAACAATGTACAAAAAGGCAGTTAGACATCTGAGAATATCAGACAAAAAGGGGAAGGGTATCTCAGCTTACTTTACAAAATGTCAAACAAAACATGATATTATTTTCCTGGTTTCCTTCTTGGTCACTGGCGTAACATCGGAAACCAGTATGAGGGATGTAAAACCTTTAAAGTGTGTAGTGTGTTGGACTTCTTATCAAAATAGACAGTTCAGTTCAGTTCGTCCTCTTTTCCCACTATTCTCCAGTTTGGTTTGAAGTATGAGTTCATGGAAAATGTCTCTTTTTTTTTTTTTGTCCTTTATGTAGAACAGTCCATGTCTGCCTGCCCTCCAAGTTTCTGACGCCTTATGTGGAGAGACTCAAAGCCAAAACTTCAGCACTTTTGGCCCCTTGGACAGTCACTCCAGGCTCCAGAAAAAAGATCTGAGACAGAGAGCAGCAAATGAAAAGCAGCCTCTGCTACAACAGCACAGACAACGAAAGCAAAAATGCAAACCAACCCCTTTATTTGTTATGCTGGTAGGAGTACGCCGTGTGTTCTGTTGGAGTACCGATAGGAACAGGCTGTTGGACGGCACTTTCCTTGAAGAAACAACAGAGATCAAACCATGAGCAGTTTAAGTTTATCACATAATTTTAACATTAAACTTTGAGAAAGCAGACATTACCTCCACTGAGATGTTGGTGGCAGGCACTTGAGTGTATGGGGGTAGATAAGGACCCTGCATAGACGCATTCGCAGGCATATACTGGAGGAAAGTGGACATATTGATCTCACGAAAGAGCTCAATATTTTTCTGTTACTACTAACAAATGTATGCTGATAGTAAAGATATCAGCGTAATTATCTACAGCGTAATCAGGGTAATTATCTACAGATTACACAGCAGGATTTAAAAAGTAGTTTCCCTGATGCTCAGATGGGGGGGTGGGGGGGACTGATAATTAAATTTTGTGTTTACCTGAGTCAATAACATTTAAACAGGTAGAAGAGAGGTAACCACTTGGCATTATTAAACACCTCGGCTGAAAAGTGACATTTGACCAATTCAACATACAGAAATGGAAATGGCATGAAAAATTTGACGGATTTGAGGGTTTTAGTCATCCCTGTTTCTACTCTTAGACAAAAATTTGAAAAAGAGCTGCTCAGCAGAGCTGTATCAGTTAAACGCCATCGGCAGCTCCACATCTACTTACCGTGCCACTGCTGCCCATTGAAAGGTGACTGAGCTGCTGTGTCAGAGGTCCCATCATGGAGGTTGGCTGGATGGACATGGAGTGCTCCATTCCTGATGCGAGGACTGCTCCCTGCAGGGGAGAGTGCAACAGACACAGCTGGTGGGACATTTTCAGACAAAACATTGAAGGTGGTGGCACAAAATGTGAACACGGCAGCGTGACAGACTGAGAGGTTTAGAGAAACTCACTGTGGGAGGCATGATGTACGACTGGTGATGTAGCCAGGACGGATTGTGTACCTGCAGCAACAGGGAAGAGAAGGCAGATAACATAAGCATGAACACACATCTTTCATTTAAGAGTAATATGCTTTCTCCTTGTATCATTTTAATAAATGTTTTTTTACGAGTCTTTTTTTTAATCTTAAATACAGCACAACAATGTTTAAGAAACACTGTCTTGAAGAGGGGAATCTGATGAGACGTCAACTACAGGAAAGGTTATCTGAAATGTTTCCACGTTTGAATAATCATTCCCAGTGTTGAATGAAGGGCTTAAATAGTTCAGAAATGCTGTCATAAAACTCTTTATGATGGATTTCAAGATGTCTTTTCGCTCTTGCTCAAGAGTGTTAGCAAAACGCTAACACTCTTGTGTTTTGGTAGTTTTGACAAACTGCCAAAAGCTCCTGTGTTTATAGGGTCAGTCACACTTGTTGATAACCATTTAATGAAGCACACCTAATTACCAGCACTTTTAGGTACCATACATAAAATTTGAATTGCTGTTGAAACGAGAAGAGTGTACTTTATTTTTCTAAAAGACAGGAATGCAGTGTTGTGCCATAAATTGTGTAAGTTGAGCCATTTCAAGAAGCTCTTTTTTTTTTATCAATTTGGCCACATGGGGCAGTGGCTTCCCATCTAAAATATAATGTGTATTACACACACAAAGAGGCAGCTTTTGTGTGTGCAAAGAAACACAGCATTAGCGGATCATCGGTTTTCATAATACAGTGACTTATATATGTGTGGATGAGTCACTGATTCAGAGGCGTAATTACGGGAAAAAAAACAAACAAAAAAAAAAAACATAGACAACCCCCAAGGTGGATTGTTTTCCAGGGACTTTATTTTTTTGGATTCTTGGCAGCAAATAATTAGTCATCATGCCTGGCAACCCGATCACTTCACAGCCACCTCAGGTGTCTGTTAGGGACATAGGTTTGTAACATTTCTGATTTATATGAGAGACCTTGTCCCTTTAGAGCTCTACAAGGGAGAGCAAAGATCTTGTATTTGAAGTGAATGGGGAGACGGTGCAGCTGGACTACAAGCGCTGCAATGAAAATTTTGGCAACTTGTCCAAAAACCTGGCAGCATCATTTTGCGCAACCTGCAAAAAGTCCTGGCATGTTTCTCCGGGCAGGTGAATATGTGGTTACAATAACCTAGTCTCCAACATATAAGGGCATAAATAATGTTTCATGGTGATCCATGTGTTTCTAGTAGGAAAATGTATGGACTATAGCCCCTATTAATAAAACTTTTGTAAACGTACCTCTCCTGTGTTTTTTGACTATGTTACTTTAAACTTTTTCTGTTGTATGATATGAACAAACATTTCTTTTTTATTTAATGAAAATGAATCGAGGACAAACTAAAAGTCAGTTTATGTCAGCTTGTATTAGATCAAATTCCTTACTCACAAGATTAACAGAGTACATTTAAATGACAACATTTTCCCAGAAATAATCGTCATACCTGATAGGTGGACACAGGGGAAGGCATGTATGGGGAGAGGGAGGCCGGTCCGATCATCCGATTAGGTGCAAGGCTGTAAGGAGACGAATAGAACCTGCACAAAGACACACACAGCTTCTTGGAGACCGTCATATAATCCCAGTTTTTATAACTTTAAATGCAATAGACCAGAGGTGCAGCACTGACCCGTTCTGTAGGGCTGTGGTGGGATCATAGGTGAGAGTCATTCCTCCCTGTACAAAAACAACATAGTAAGTATTTAACCACAAGGGGGACTGTTATCAAGGTCTTTTTTTTTTTGCCAAATGTTATAAACAAACTCACAGACTCAGAATCTCTTGTCCAGGATCGACCGTTCTGAAGGTATTTGCCTTGACTCTGACGCTTCTTCTGGCCTCCGTCAGCAAATTTACACAGCAAAGGTTCTGTCGGCGCTAAATCAGGAGTTAATAACAAATCATCATGACAGCTTGTGGTTACCATCACTAACATTATTCACATTGGGCTATATTGGTTTTTGGATCTGACCAACATGGGATTTAGTGTTTGATTTTTTGTTGGGGTTTTTTTCCAAAAAAAAAGAAAAAGGAAAAGACAGAGCAAGAAGTAACAAAATCTAAACTCACCTGGAACTCCATGAGGAGTTTTGATATATTTTCCATTAAAATGTTGGATAATAGCCTCACATTTCTCAGTTGACTCCATCCTATGAAAATTAAAACATTTCCAACTTAAAATGACAGTCAGGGAACTCTGATTATCACTTGAAGTTTTTTTTTCTTCTTCAGATCTTATGTTATTCAACCATAACCACCTGCAAATTACGGCATCCTTCCTACTTACCATGTAAAGATGTGCAAAAAGATTTAAAATAATTATTTCTTGTATTGCAAAAGCCTGATATCACCCAAAAACGTTTGCTTTTTTTTAAATCACTTTTTTTAATTTAAGTTAGTTTATGCAATGGGTTGATTAAAATTAAGTTGTAATAATCGTTTACATTCTTGCTTTTTATATTTAAAAATATATATTTTTACCTTACTGTTACCTAAGCTGATCACAGTACTGAGGGCAATGTAATCCGTAACTTCCTGTTTTTCTGGTACATCAAAGTTACATGACACAGAGGCCCATTTCTCTTAGCCACAAGGATGAACAATCACATGTTTATCTTGTGACCAGGCTTAATATGAAGGATACTAAGGACGGGTAAAATACAAATCTCCAAAGTTACTGTCGGAGAGCTGCAGCAAAGAGTGGCATCTTGGGGTCATCAGTTCTCCATAGCAACCATTAGATGCTGTCTACGTACTGACTGGTTGTTTGAAGCAATGCAGACAAAACAAATTTGTCCAACCAGCACAAATGTATTTATACGACGTTTTTCTAAGTCTTTCTGGATTTAATTGGAACTATGTGCTCTGGAAAAGATGAGAGCTGTAAAAAAAACCTCAATGTGGGTTTGTAAAAAACAGCTTTATTAGGACTACTTTGCTAATGCAGTCTATGTATGCACATCTCCACACTACTCAGATTCTGACCAATCACAGAGCAAATGGACTTCCCCTCATTTTATGAGCACACATTCTAAACAAAAAAAAAAAGAAAAAAAAATCATGCTTCTCCTTTACTGTGAGCTGTTGCTCCTCAAAGGAAATTGCATGGATATTGGCTGTTGTCTGGTAGAAGTTTATCAAGTGAAAAATTCCTGATTTTTCCATACAACTGTATCATTGACATGTTCTTTGCACAGGAGAATAGTAAACAAGCTGACCTCCGATCGTCTGCGTGATTCTGATCGATCACCTGCTGTGGGTTCCAACATTCTGTAATCCATCAAAATGCTATAGGCAAGAACTAAAAGTTTCCCAAAGGGTCTGATAGGAAATAATGGATAAACATGTGCACATTTAATTCCCACTGTGAATTACGGTAGAATAAACGTGATGCTGTGGGCCTGCTTTTCTTCCAGAAGCCCTTCAAATCTGTGTTGGTTTCATGGATTTTTGCACCTCTAAATAAAGATGAATTTATTGTGCGTCTTTCCAAACATCCTTACCAGGGCTAAATGTGACTGAGAAACACAAAGGTTCTACCTGGCGAAGCCCACCCCTCGGCTGGTCCCGTTGGAGTCGCGGAGGATGCGAGTGGAAATGGCCTGACTGAAGGGCTTCAGCATGTTCTCCAGCTCTGACTCGTCCATGGAGAGCGGGAGGTTAGAGATGTACAAGTTGGTGGGGTCCTGCTCCTGTTGCTGACCACAGTCAAAGACGCAACATGATCAATGAGTGAACACATAAAGGAGGCTTTGCTGTTTGCTTCTTTGTGACCATAAGTAGCACAAAAATTGATTTGCTGTATGTAAAATTTTACATTGCCTTTACAAATTAAACAGTTCCTTTCATCAATGGTCTGAAATGCTGATTTTCTCTCTTGTAGTGAGAGCAGAATACCTGAGAAGAAAAACATCCTGTTTCCTTGCTAAAGATAACGTATAACTAATCCTGATCTTATATGCAAGTACATATTTTATAAATCAACGTGAATTATTTATCTCTCCTGGATCAGCATTTGAAATCATTAAAAAAAACCTAAATGAAATTACCTCATAAATGACACTGTTGTGTTTTTGCAAACTAATTTCTTCTGTGTTTTACGTGCCATTCAAACAAATTTTTATTTGACCTACAGTGTCTTGTAAGACGCTCACTCTATATCACCTCTGGCTATTATGCATATTTATCATCTGCGATGTGATTAAAAGTCAGTTAATGCAGTGCAAGTTAATTTCCATGCTATGAATAATGCATGTGTAATCTCTGCGACCTATGACGAAGGTGACTTCTCCTTCACCTTCCTCTCTCTTCCCGCAACGTAGGACGAGTGAACAGAGAAACCCTGGTGCAAACTTCAGCCGTAAACGAGTCAGAGAGCATGCTGCTGACGCAAGCACGAGCCTTCTTGTAAACTCCGACACAAGGGTTGAGCGAAATTGAGCTATTTTGTGAGCGAGAGGCGGTATGAATGTAAGTGATCCGGCTTAACATAAGATCAGCTTTCCCAGGGTGTTGTCAGCTGTGCGTGACTGTGAGTGCATGTGATAATCCAGTTGAGGCAAGGCTGCCGAAGTGCACGAGTGATTGTCAAGTTGTGTGTGTGTGTGTGTGTGTGGGTGTGCGTGTGTGTGTGTGCGTGTGTGTGCGTGTGTGTGTGTTTGTGTGTGTTGACAGGGCGGGTGGCTGGGCACTATGCCTTGCTGACTGAGAAGCTGCTCAGACACTGAGTCAGAAGCCACCGGGGAGAACAGGCAGTTCCTTTGTAAAGGGAATCCAGGGAGCAACCCCTGGGACCCGCTCCCCAGACACCATCACCACTGTGAAAACACACGTCTCCCTGCATGTGTCCGTGGGGTCTTGTTTGTGGAAACAGGTATCCTTCGGTGGATTATGACACAGATTTAGAAGCACACCCAAACGGCACAGCATGCAGCAAACACATGGGCACTGGCACAGAGCAAATTAAAGATTATAACGGGGATATGCAGTGGAAATAAGTTAGCATGTTCACTAAACGGCTATATTAGAGTAAAGTTTTATTTCTGGATTAAAATATTACACTTTCATTAAAAAAAAATTATAGTGTTTTGTAATTCTGTGTTCTTAAAAAAATAACTCAATGAATGCTCTTTTATCTTGATTGTTGACGGGTTTATGCCTCTGCTTTTCTTTAAAAACAAAAATGTTTTTAAGGCAGTTTATTTAAGGCTACTTTATTATAGCCATTCTAGTGAAACAGAAATTGTCTAACATTAGATGACATTAGGCAGCTTCATGCCTTTTAGAGAGTTTTTTTCTCTTATTATACTTTAGCACTACTCTTCTGTCCAACAGCATATAGCTGATGATCAATGGTACCGTATGGAAAAAAAAAGAGAAGAAAATCAGCTACATACAAAAGAGGTTTTTCTCTAAGGCATTGTTAAAATCCCACATAAAAAAGAATGGATAAATCAAACTGTTTCAATAAATAAACCCAGCATATATTATGGGAGCATATTTTATGATTCTCACCTTGGCCATTTGAGCCTGTACTCCGACTGCCTTCAACGCTGTCACTGCCTTCTGTGCTGAGGCTGGACTGTCAAAGTCCACGAAGCCATAGCCTGAAGAAATCAAAACACAAAACATGATATGTGAGTTAATACAGTGAAGTGTGATGCATGCCAGAGAATAAGTACGAGTTGAATTTACAAACCACTCAGTCAGTGAACATTCTTATTTCACACGTTTTTCAAATATAACAAAAGGTTTCATGATCTGTATTTCAAGTAAATTGCACACAGTGCAGAATAATTATTTGAAAATTGCCTTCTTTGTGCTCCCGCAAGTAACACAGTAGCAGGTTTCATAAAAATGGTGAATTAAGTAATTACTGATTTTCACCAAGGGGTGATCAAATGCAGTTCAAGTTTTATAAAAAACAGAAAAATAGCACAAAATCAAAAATGTAAAAATCTGACTCCAACCTCATCATCATCATCTTACACCATAACAATGTCTGCTCTCTGAACAGCGTAGGAGGTCACCCACTCCCCACTGACTGGACATTTCTATAATCAATAGAAAATTTAGCACAACTGGGAGATAACTTTTTTTTTTTTTATGAGTACTCATTCGGCTGATAAAATGGCACCCTGGACATTGAGCCACTCTGTCCACAACAACTGCTACCGTCCTCAGCTGCAAAAATTTAAATCAGATCAAACCAGCTCCAATAGAGTTCAACTGGGCTTTCCACACGTTTTCTAGAAATGGCGGTGCCTCTTGAGCAAGATGACTCTGAGTTACATCAAGAAAGGTCAGTTGAATTATTAAGAACAATCAAATGAAACAATGTGTATCTAAATAGGCTGAATCTCTGTGGTAAAATTACTTTTTTTTTTTACTTTACCAGTTATTTGGTTAAAAAAAAACGTACAATTTTTGTATCGTTTCACTTTTGTAGAATTTGAATTTAAGCTTTTTGCTGCACAAATTAAATACAATATTAAAATTAATATTATTCATAAACTTGACAGATTTAGAGGAAAAGCAATAATTTAATTTTAATAGCATATTTCTTCTGGTGTTGCACTGTTGCTTTGTGGCAAGTAGATCCTGCAAGAGGTCCTTCTATATGAAGTTTGTGTGTTTTCCCAGTGCATGTGTCAGTTTTCTCTAGGAACTTCTTCCCACAGTCTAAAGACAAGCATTTTAGGCTAAGTGGTAAGTTTGAATTGCTCTCAGGTATGTGTGTGGATATGTGTGCGTGCACTTGTTTTTGTGACATATCAGGACATTTTCATGATAACACACCTTCAATATCAGGACACTTGGAAAAATGAGGACATTTTTCACATATGCATTTTTCAGACCATACTAGTTCTAAAAGCCCCCAACACACCCCTGTGTGTGTGTGCACGTGTGTGCGTGTGTGTGTGTGTGTGTGTGTGGGTGTGTGTGCATGTGTGTGTGTGCGTGCGTGTGTGTGTGTGTGTGTGTGTGTGTGCGTGTGTGTGCGTGTGTGTGCGTGGGTGTGTGCGGGTGTGTGTGTCTGTCTGTTTATGTTTGTTTGGACTGTGTGTCTCTGTGTTGCCCTGTAATGGGCCAACGACCTGTCCATTGTGTACTGTGTCTGTCACCCAATGACCGGTGGAGATAGGCACCGGCCCCTCCAGTGACCTTGTCAGTATAGACATTGATGGATGCTTCTTTCTTCTGACTGAAAGCATTTTTAACATTTTTTGAGAGGCTAAGTCTTGACTTAAATCTGGATCAGAACCTTCATATCAGAAGTAAAATTTCTTGGCCGAATGAAATGAATTTCAAAACTAAATCTGCCAGTGGTGTGAATACTTGTAAACCTAACTGTATTAATAACAAAGGAATGTTTTTTTGTTTTTTTTTCAAATGTCTCACCTTTGCATTTGTTGGTAGTCTTGTCCAGGATGGCTTTGGTGGACACAATTTTCCCATACCTGCAAAATGACAAAGTTTAAATCCACTGGTCATTCTTGGTACAATGCCTGATATTTATATTTAAAAATTTAGTACTATGAAACATTGCTGAGATAATCTGACTTTTTCCAGGTTCACTACATGTGTTGCTCATGAAGACTGGATTAAAATTTAACTCATGCTTTATGATTAGTGACACTGTATGCAGTTATATCGATAGAGTCGTACTTCAACAGGGGTTTCAACATGATGTGAAAAGTGGTTTTAAAAAAGTCCCCTGTTGCATTTACAGACCTCACAACAGACCACCTTAATCCATATCTACTCAGTTTGGTGCATAAAGAAACTGCAGAGAAAAAAGGGATAATGGCCGACTTAGGCAAATGCTTCTGCATGCAGTAGTGTCTATCAGTTCCCATCTCTCCAGGCATGTGCATCCAGTGTAATGTGATATGCCTCTCCTTGGCTGTCCTGTCCAATGCTGGCTCTGAGCCATGCTCCCATTCAACTAACCAGCTTCTCTGTGTGTAACTCCTATATTTTCCGCTGGGTCTTAGTGCCCCCTGCAATGCAATCCGATTTATACCCAACAATATTGAACTACTGGCGAGTTTTATTTAGGCAACAGAGTGTCTCTTTCACTGTTTTTTTAAAGGATTATGTGATGAGCTGCTAAAACTGTAATCTGCCAATCTATCTAGTGGATTACTGCAAACCGGTTCTTTCCGAACAACAAGTTGCCTTAATCTGCTTCACTTTTTTTAGTCTATGCATAAGACTATTGCAAGCTGCCAATCAACATAATATTTAATTATTTTAATTGAATATGTTATCCAAATCACTTTGGTCATTGGAGAGAAAAGTGGTTAAAAAATATTGAAACACACATTTAAAGCAAAATGTAACCCACACTTTTATTAACTGATTTTTAGCTATAATAAATGTTGAGAACCATGTGTCATTTTTCTACTACCGCACAAATATATTCTACATTGTGTTATCACATACAAACCTAATGAAGCATGTTGAAATGTGTAGCTGTAATGTAAATGAAGGTGAAATTAATTCAATGCAGTGTCAATACTTTTGGTAAACATCAAGTTAAGACCTACTCTACCTTAATCAACCATGCCATTTAACTATATTTCTCTAGGACTGTTTGTGTGTTATTTCCACAACATTTCTGATGCTAAGATGTAAAATACCAGCAACTGGCCTGTATGGACATCCCATAATTATTGGTCTGTTTCTACTACTTTACATCAAAGCTACATTTTTGCCTGGGAGCTCTGCTTGCATAGTCGTTGCTCACACAGTGGAGTTAACTAAGTTGTGCTCAAAGGTCTCACTCTTCATGTTGTAGTGTGGAAGAAGGGCTATAGATTTATTCAAGTGTGAGACTTTACCACATCTTACACAGTCCAACTCGGCGTCCATCCACTGCTAACAACCAAAGGCAAGAAAGGTCAAGAACCAGAGCTGCAGCAGAGCTCCCAGAGAGAAAACTGCAGGGGCCAGAGGAGGAGATTCAAGCCACATTCCCTCCTCTCATTATAAACTTTGTACATAGTAAATCTCAGCATACAGCGACTTTCAGTAGGGGGTGTTGGGAGCGTCTGTGTGCACATTTACTGAATAAACCAAAGCTAACAAAGTCTGATTCCCTTCCTGAGTTATATGCTAATACAGCATTATTCATTTCCTACTTCTGTAGAAAACAGTCTGCTCCTTCAGTCTAGTTTAGGAGAGAATCACACTGATCATAATGTGCTCTGCTGAGAGGCTAATTTCATGCAATGACTTTATCTGCCCCGTTAAAGCAGAAATATGAGAACTACCCCCACGCAACACCACCTGACACTCCTCCCCCCTCCGATTCTCCACGTCCTCGACCCACTACCCCCACACCACTGCCCTTGTTTGTCTTTCCCTTTCCCCTGGGTTTGCTGTTTCCTGTTGGGTTGGGCAGTCTCATGTGAGCCATATCTTCCAGACAGCTGTAAAATAACGGGCCTTGCCCTGCCTCTCTGCCCTCATTTTTTCAATCTTTCTCCACTCCCTCTTCTTCCCTCCATTTCTCTCCCTGCTCTCCTGGTTCTCATCACCAGGCTCCAGAATTCAATTAGGTAAAGACAGATCATTCATCTCAGCCCTCAGCATTTTGATCTGCTCTCTAACCATAGCCCTAACAAATATATCAGATGGATTGGATAATGCTGAATTTTCAAGCCTTACGCGCACACTGATGAGCCACATCGTGTTATCTATAGTTCAGAATGTGACGTTTACTTTGCACAATAGAGTCCGACTTTTATCAGACTATATTGCAAAAAATGTAAAGCATTAATGCACTTTTAGTGCAACTACCTCCTCCATCTATTGAATTTTCTGATGCTGGCATTACAACCATTCAGCCTATCACTCATCACTCAGATCTAACCTAATCAACCCTGCTTCCCTGGTTCCCGCTCACGTCGGACAGCTGGGGAGATTTACTGGGTGTGTGGGAGCACTGGTTTTTGTGTGACTCACGGCTGACAGAGCTTGACCAGATCTTGGTCTGTGGTTCCTGGAAGCAGGCCACGGATGTAAAGGTTGGTTTTGCTGAGCTGCTCTGCTCCACTGTTGCTGTTGCCGCTGCCATTGCTGAAGGTGGTTGTGTTGCTGTTGCCATTGCTGTTGGGACTTGGAGGAGCCATCTGATGGTTGGAGGGGGACACATATGTCTGCTGAAAAAGAAATTACCGTCCGATTTAAAACAGTGCAATCATAGAGGAAACATTCATTTTGATACTGTGTCATACCCAAACAAGTTATTTAAAAAGCATTACATAATTGTTCTCTGTAAATAACCACTATAAAGAAAAAAATATTAATATTGGCCAAAAGGCACCATAAAATCAAACAGAAAATAGATCAGAGCATAAAATGTACAGAAAAAGAGAGAAATATGTAAAAACTAACAAGACAGGAATTAAAAAAAACATCTAAAAACAACTAGAACTAGTTGTACAGAGTTACTTAAAATCTTTAAACAAGATTAAAAAACAGAAAGTGAAGGTGTCTGCTTAACATAAAACTGGAAAGTAGCACTGTTTTGAAGCCCAAACTGCACAAAGCTCCATCGCCTCAGAGTTTAGATAATCTCTATGGAACAATTAAAAGCATCACTGTGATGGTGCATTTTGATGCAATAGTTTTGCTATCTGCACATGTGTAGAATAATTCAGCACTTTATTGATGTGCCTTACCACCTGTTTGCAGAATATATTTAAACTTATTGCTCCTTTAAGATGTCTGAAGTCCAAAATTGAGCTCCTTGACCAAACATCATTTACCTATTTTAGCAAGACATCAAAGGCTAATGTGAAACATAAATCTAGGAGTCATGTTTGATGAAGCCAAGTTCCTAGAAAAATACTCCATATAACTTCTAATGCTTCATATTACTTCCACTAGTTGCAAAACATTGCCAAACTTTGAGCAATTCACTCCAAAAATGACCTTGAGTTGCTGATTCATGCTTTAGTTTTACCCCTTTTAGGCACATTACATTCATGTGAACATAAACAGATAGTGAACATAAATGTACTCGTACTCGCTATAGGACCAGAGGAGACGGATCCTTCCAAGCTGTTGGACCAAGACTGTGGAATGAACTCCTAAACTATGTGTGATTGATGGGTTCTATTGATGCTTTTAAAAAGCAACTTAAGACATTCTTTTTTTAAACAAGCATTTTAACCTCTCTTGAACCTGGGCGGCTACAACTTTTTTTTTTTACATCTCTTGTTTTTTCTCCCCATTACTCCCTATCAGTATCTTGGTTACTAAGCCTTAATATCAGATGTGTTTATAAAAGACAGCAAATGATCATTCTAAAAACCAAAGATAGGTATTTACATAAAAAAGACAGACTACAGTTTGCATATTTCCTCTGGCACAAAAACCTTAGAGATGTACTGTGATCTACTTAAGTTAAAATTGAAGTGCTCCGCTATTGTGGCCACTGCTGCGATTTGGAGGAAATTGAGGACAACCTGAGAACACCATCAAAACTGTGAAGTACATGTGTGGCACCATCATGCTTTGGCACCAGTGTTGTTGAGTTGGAAACACTGGTGCACTTCACTAAATGGATGACATTATGAGGAAAGAATGTTATCTGGAAATATTGAAGCAATACATCAACCAGGAAGCTAAATATTGGCGCAAACAATGACCCAATCATTACAAAGAGGCTTGAAGACAATGCAGTCAATATTTTGGAGAAGCCACAGACACCTGCACTATGGAACAAGTGCACACTTATTTTCTTTTCCTCCTTCGTTTTTTGACTGAAAGAAATATGGCTTCCCCCAGCAACCCAACAACTTTAAAAAGTCTCTGTTAATTCTCACTGTGTTTTTGTTGTTTAGCAACCAAAATCCAACTTTCCTCAGAAGAGTCACTTCTTCTCAATGAATTGTCTATAATCACAACGTTTACAGCAAAGGACTAGCATGATTAAATGAACATAATCTCAAATAGCATATGCTATAATAGCACTGTATCTTTCTATCTAACCATAAATCTGATCAAATACAGTAAAAAACGATTTATGGTGCATTAGCTCTATAAAACTATCTGTGATACAGCTACCTGCTATTATATATGGATTACCCATCTTGATATTAAACTGATCTGTCAGTTGGGCCTATTGGATCAGAGCTGGGGTCTCTATAGAAATTTACAGCTGCGTCTGACTAAGCCATGTGAAACCATAGGTGAGATAGGAGCGTGGACAATAAAAAACGTAAACCAGAAAAAAATATTTTTATGAGTCAGATGGAGCCTCATAAAAACACAAAGGCACATTACACATTTATTGACAAATTTATTGAACTACAGTAGTCTCTTGCAAGTTATGTGGTTTCCCCAGCATGCACTTCTTTCCAAGAAATAAAAGGAATGGTTGCTCTAAAAGCCAATATTCATCTTTCTGCGAAAAACTAAAAGGGGCGGAAGTTTATGAGGCTAATCAATCTCTGTCTGTTTCCGAAAAGACCTAGAAAAAGACATAATCCCAAAATGAGAAAGTAATTACGACAAAAAAAAAGCAATTTGTTTAGGTAAATGTATGTGTATTTCTAATGATATGGCTTTGCTTAGAAGTATTGTCAATCACTTCTTAGGCAACAAAAAACTTTTCTACAGACTCACAATCATCATTGACTGAGTCAACTGTTTCTGCATCTTTGCCACAATTGATTATTAAATTAAAAAATGCTCTGCAATTCAAAGACCTGATAAGTTTACCTCAAGGTTCATCACCAATGGTCTAAAACGGAGCACACAGAGCTTCATAAAGATAGTTGTGTTCAGTTCTGTGTGAGTAAACCATTTTAGTTTCTAACTAAGACTGATAAAAATGTGTTTTTTGCTTTTGAAACTGAAGAGACAAATGGCTTGACTATGAAAAGACAATTTAGTTATGTTTAAAGCTTGTAATACATCGAAGGTGCAAAATCCAATAGATACATTATATATCAGTGAGTACATTGTACATCAGTCATCAATACAGCGGATCAATAATGACCAAACCTTTTCCGTATTCCTCAAATTCAGATGCATGATCTTTTCAAAACGGATCAACTTTTAACCTCTCTTTTTTTTCCCTTAAGGTAAAAAAAAAAAATCCCTGTGGCTCACAAAGTCCATTTACTTTAACCTGAATCTTTAATGCTTATTAAAGTGGTAACAGGGCACTATTTGTTTAGTCACAATCAAAGTTGCTTCCTCTTCCCTCCCTCGCCTTCTCCTGCAGGAAGAGAATAATCAGGAAGGATGCACCTGCAACAGCTTGGAGAGATAAGATATGACGGGAGAGACTGGAGAGTCCAGTGCCGAGGTTTGGCTGGTGAGGCCTGTCTAATTGGGATCTGAACTTGTTAGGGGAAAGTGCTAATCCCTCTCATGTGCACCCAAGTCAGAAGGTAGTGTCTCATTAAAACCGCTCTGCTAAACCTCATCTGAGAAAATGATGGCAGGGAGTCAGATACGCATCTACCCCCCTCAAACTGCTCCAGCTCAATGTGCTTCGCCAGCCATGAAAGGTGACTTAAAATGCAATGGTGCAATTTTGAACAAATATGCATAAAGAGCACAAGAACATTTAAGAAGGGAGCTGTGAAATGTGCTATGCAAGTCTAAGACTGACAAATTGATGTGGATTTACTGTAACATCAAGCCCTGTGATGTTTTTCATGTATTTGTGTCACCTTTGATGCACTCCTGTTCTGAATAGTCGATGGTGTTGGGATAGACTGTCTGTACTTCACAGTTTTCTGCTGCATCAGGGCCAGGAAGACTACGTTACTTTTGCCATGACATTTATTGCGCTGTTTTATTTTTCTTTCAGATCGAAAGATCAGCTCATTATCTGGGAAGGGAAGGAAATGCAATTCTCTCTGAGTGTTGTCGGATGAGTCTGCTTCGTTGTCAGTTTCACACATCCAGCATGCCAAGTTGAGTGAATCTTCAACAGTGCAGACAGGATGGCTTAGCTTGAGATTCAGTGATGTTACTGCCGGGGTCATTGCTGTGATATTTGGGTCTCTTGAGTTGTGTAGCAAAGAAGCAGCAAATGTTTTTCACCAGATTCTTTGTTCATTTGGTGGTTATATCACGTGCCCTTTAGTGTAAAATGCCTCATACAGCATTGTGCCTTTTATAGTGTTTAAAGCAAAGGTAGATGTGCACCAGTGTGTCACCTGTCAAGAGTATGAAGGTAAACCTTTTAAAAGATAACATTGTTGTAAACATTCTGCAACATTTCTTGCAGCAGGATAGAACAGCGGGAATCAGAGTCACAAATGCACAATATGACAGCTTTATTTTCTACAATAACTAACAACAGATCATTTCTCTACATCTGGAAACATACCATCCCCGCATTCATTTTACACTCCGATTTAGTCAACTATTTAGCATTTTTACAGAGATCTGACATAAGTGGCTCTCTGCATGGTGCAAAGACTTCGTATAGCCAAAAGCTGAAAACCAATGAGATAATTACAGTTGGAGATGGCGAATGCGATGCCAGACCGCAGGTGACTCAAGGGCTTTTCCAGTCAAACAGAACAATAAGGGCAAAGGGAGCAGGATGTGGAACCTTTCTAGTTAATAGCAAAGACTTGTCTCACTTTTCAAACTGAATCTCCCTGGCAATATAAACATGCTGTAGTTTATATAGTGTCAGTCAGACGTTTAGTAATTTATTAAAAATCTAAAGTATACTACATTTTTCTTTATTTAAAATATCATCATCCTTTATGATACATAAAATCCACAATTTACTCATATACTAAGTGGTCATTCTCCATTATTTTTGCAGCATTTCTATCTTCTAACCAATGTCTTTTTTTGGGTTATTTATACAACCCTATTTAGCAGGACAAAATCTTTTTACTGCACAAATAGGGGAAAAAAATTAATTACTTCAAAATCCAATTACATGCAGCCTAATGCAATCAAGTTATATCTGAAATTGGTTTGGGAGTATTTATTAAATACCAAGTTCTAAGGACCACATTGTGGTGTGTTATTTCAGGAATAAAGCCAGGTTATATGGGATCATGCAGAGATATTTCTTATTTCTTATGGCCTACCTGATTGGTTAAAGGCACTGTAGAAAAGATCACAGGTAGAATCTCTTTCCGTTAAATCTCAAATACTTAAAGGAGAGCAATGTGAGGACGGAAGAGCCAGATAAACAAAGTAATGAGAACCCTCAGTGTCCTGCAGCATAAAGCTCTTATACTCGCATATTAATCTATTCTTCCTCTTAACCATTTAAAACAGCTTTTAGCAGAAATCAATGTGTGTGTGAAACAAGCGGGAGGAAGAGAAAAAGCCTGATGTTAATGGGAAGCAGAGAAAAAAGGGCAGTATCTCCTAATCTCTCTCTTTTCTCATTAACAAACGACACAGAGCAGGGGTTACCACTTAACACTGGATTTACAAGTATCCCCTCTGAGTGTGACTTTAGCCAAGGGAGAAAAAAAATTGTCCAAGTCTCACTTAAAAGAAAGGCCTCTGTAGAGCCCCTGTGGAAGTGGACATATTGTCTGAATCCAGGATTCCAGGAATTCCAGGTCATTAATCCAGGCAATCTAAATTTCTTCCAGCTGTGAGCAAGTGATGGGAATGACACAGGCATGGTGGGAAGCATTTGATTTCAGCTGTTTCGGATGTTTTCCAAGGACTTAGTCATAACATTGCACTTCCTTTTGTGCTCATTCATTTAATTTTGAAAGAGCACCGTGGAAATAAATATTAGCCACTCAAAACGGTTGACCTTTTTTTTTTATCAAGTTTAAAAGCATTGTTGAATTTAAACTAGATGTAGTAGTATTTTGGTAACAAAACCTAGCTCAGCATTTTGACTAGAAATTAATTGAAGACGTTGGCTCAGTCAACCATTATTCTTACTCATCACGTGCCACTCCGAGCAGAACGGCTGATGTGTTTGTATGGGTTGTATGAATGAATGTATCAGTTTAAATAAAAAGCTAAGATCTATCATAAGACTTGCAGTTGAGAAAGCTTCTGCACGTAAGCAAGTTTGTTTTTGTTTCTAACCATTTTCAGCTGATTTAGCTTCTACTTGCTGATATGCTGACATATATATATATATATATATATATATATATATATATATATACATATATATATATATATATATATATATATATATATATATATATATATATATAGGATAATTTGTTTTGATGTTACAGCTGTCAACCAAGTTTTAATCAGGAATATTGATTCAAATCTATCAAAAATCAATTTCTTACTATTTGTTTTATTAGCGAGCTCAATTTGATCTTGAACAAGCTACCAAAGTGAGAATGTTGTAAACCGCTTTAATTGATGAAAATAATCTTATAGGTTAAGTCGTTTCCTTTACAGAAGGTTTCTATGTAAAATATGTGGTCCGTCCTGTAGAAGCGGCTGAGAATAGATAATTTAACCCTCATGAATTATTCATCTCACAGAGCAAAGCCAATCAATACTACAGCTCACATACTGTTCCAGGCTGGAGTCACTGTACTGTTCAGCTAATCTGTACATACAGTATGGTAATCTAAAACAGTCTCCCTATACTTTCCTCTGCTTAAAGCGCTACGCAAACCCTCAGTAATCATTTCTGAAGGGGTGGGGCATCATAGAGCGCGTAAAACAGAGAGAGAGAGACAGAGAGAGAGAGAGAAAAAAAACTTTACAAACTTGTGTTAAATCCAATACAAACAAAGCGATAGGACGCGGGTTTTCCATTGGGTTCACATTAACGTCGAAAATAAAAAAGCTTTTTAGCGCTTCTTTTTCCTATTAGACGCACCTAAGGGGGGGGGGGGATTATAAACTGTTCTCTGCGTAGGCTGGAAATAGGAAGAGAGCCGTGGACCGTGTCGGAACAAACGAAAGCAAACTGCTCAAGTAATCCACAGGGAACAATGTAATAGAGTCCGCTCTGCTTTATTACACTGTAACAAAACGCACAGGGGGAAAAAAAAAAAAAAAAAAAAGCCAAATACAAACGTTGCAACAGCCGGTAAAGAGAGTTTCAACGTGATCTAATTTCAAGGACAATGCAGCTTAAAACAGCAGAGCAGATTTTAAGTGGAGAGCCAGAGCTCGAACAGCGCCGCATCGACGACTGGTTTACTTCAGTAGAGAGGACATAGAAGTGGTCTGAGGCTGCTTCTTTACCTTCTTGTGGCTTTTGCCGGAGTAACCGCCGTATGGGCTGATTCCTGTCCTTGGCGGCACCGAGAGCAGCATTTTTACGCGGCGCTGTGTCCGGAGGAGCGGAGAGTCAGCTGACGTCAGTCAGGGAAATTCAGCCCGAACAGCGGCGGTGATTGGAGTCGCTCTCTGCACGCACACGCACCGCACAGCCTATATGTTTATGTGTAAATGCTGCTGGCTGGACGATTCACCGAGAATCAACCAAACTCACTCTAGCATACAGTTTTTCACCCATAAAACCCATCACAGTCAGTTTTATGTTACTTTTCCTGTACTGTTTTCAGTGTTATTATTATTATTTTTTTCATTAAGATAAAATCTACTTTCCCTACAGCAAGCTTACATGTGCACACGCCCCTGTTGACGTCACACGAGGCTATTGATCAGAATTTTTTTTGAGTTCATTTGTTGTTTTACTTTAGTTCTTTTGCATGTTTTTAAATCAAACTTTCCATCCGAAACCGGTCGCTTGTACCCAGCAGAAAGCTTAAAACAGGGTTTTCGTCAACATGTTGCATAAAGCACAAGGAAGCGCTTTGTGAAAATGACCAGAGCAGACTGGCAATGATGTCCCTCCCACTGAAGGAGCAAGTCGGAAAACAGAAACAGGAAGGTTGGCTAATTATTGTTGTGTTAACTCTGTACCAGGCAAGTCAAAATAATGTATTTTATCCTATTTTATTTGGTGAAACACACACACTCACACAAAAAAACTTAGTAAATAAAATATTTCATGGAATTATTTTTAAGTATATGTGATTCATTGGTTTGAAAAGATAAAAGCCATCAAATATACTAATAAGTAGTTTATATCAGCTATCTTCCAAACATTTTGCGTATATAGCGGCCATATTGTACTTTGAACCCGAGGAAGCTCAAGCTTCTTCTAGCAGGATTCTCACTTCATCTGTCATTGTTGTTGTATTTCAAACTGGGAGCTGAGAAAAATCTGACTTCTGAATGAACGATCCATTAAATCACATGACCTGCTATACTTGTTCAGTTAAAATGATTTAAATCTCCCAATAATGTCCTGCAGAACCACTGCAGTGAAGATGACCAACAGGTGGACCATCTAATAATGAGCCCAGTTCTAAGATAGAGCACAGAAGACCATCTTTATTATTCCTGTTAACACTGGTTCATTACATTAGTGTGAGATGAGTTAAAAAAAAAATACAGCAATATTTGTACGTAAGTGATGGCTAAAATAGTGTTAATGTCAACCAACTATTGATAATTCAGTAAAACTTTGCAAAAAATATTAGCAGCTAGTTTCTTATTTAATGTAAGGCAAGGCAAGGCAAGTTTATTTATATAGCACTTTAAAACAGTACCACTGACCAAAGTGCTAAACAATCACATGATTAAACAAATAAAAATCAAAATTAAAACACATCAAAACCAACAATGCAGTGACGTAAAACACTAATACATAAACATACCCAGATTAATACAGAAAAGCAGCATCTCAAACTGAATCAAAGGCCAACCGAAAAAGGTAAGTCTTAAGAGCAGATTTAAAAATTGCTAAAGAGGGGGCCTGTTTTACCAACATAGGTAAAGAATTCCAAAGTTTAGGAGCTGCAACAGCAAACGCCCTGTCTCCTCTCTGCCTCCTGGAAGTCCTCGGCACCTCCAGGTTCATTTGGCTCGCTGATCTAAGAGCTCGAGGAGGACAGTGTATATGTAGCAGCTCAGAGAGATAGGAGGGAGCAAGGCCATTTAAAGATTTAAATACAAATAAAAGAATCTTAAAATGCACTCTGAAATGTACCGGCAGCCAGTGCAGAGAATATAAAATCGGGGTAACATGTTCTCTCTTCCGCGATCCAGTTAAAAGCCGAGCAGCCGCATTCTGGACCAGCTGAAGACGGGACAAGGAAGACTGGCTAACACCCACATATAAGGAGTTACAGTAATCCAGTCGTGTTGTGATAAAAGCATGGATTAATATTTCAAAATAATCCACAATCCAATGTAAATGAGGAACATATTTCTGCAAATTGAACAAGTAAAAATTGGACCAATGTTATTTTCAAGAAGGAAGAAAGCACAATATATATCTAATATATGATTAACACAATAATTTTCTCTGGTCAGATAGTTGGACTATAATATTGCTATTGTATTAAGGATTAAAAAAAGCAACAACTTTACTTTGATTAACCAAAAAAATTACAGTGGCTTTGAATTAGCGTGTGAGTAACTTTTGAAAAGTTTATCTATGGAAATAATGTAATAAAGTCAGATTAAATCTTTTTTCAGATTTTTTTTTAAAGCTAAATAAGAAAAGATCACACCTTTGTTCTTTTGTCATCAATTATCATGGTTTCTTGACAGCTCTTATCTTGCGATTAAAAAAAAAAGTTTTTGTAGACTGGAGTTGCTTGGCAACTAAATCCCATTCATTTTATGGCTTGTCCTGTGCACCCTGACTGAGCCTCAACTGTGAGGAAAAACATGTGCAATTGTGTTATTTTTGCCACTGAATTTGCATAATGCATTCACAACTTCGAGATTCAAAGGGTATAGCCCACAGTCTTATTATAATATATGTGCAAAAGGAGATTTCATCCAGATTTCATCACTACTGGGTAACCAGACACATGCAATTCACAATCTCAGCCTTTCTCTCCCCCAACATATGCATGCACACAACCTAAAACTCTAATGCACTAGTTGCATTTTTATACAAATAACATAATTCTGTCTTAATATTGTTCTTACTGACCAGATGTGGATTTTGTTTCTTTTAGGCCGGACCATACTGAGATTACATTTAGGTCACATAGAGTCGTTTGTCCCTCCCTGTTTAAATCCATGGATGCACTGTATTGATATGGTGTGCAAGTGTTCAGCCAGATGGGATGTGAGTTCCAGAGCTCAAGGCCAGCTTGGGGGAGGGACTTGCAATTCACCAAAAACATGGAGTAATGTGACCTGCTGGGGTTTTTGAAAAGGTTTCATCTGAAACCATGAATCAAAAGATTTAAAAAGAATTACATATAAACCCAAGACTTATGCAAAGTTTGTTGTATTGACTTTTTTTTTTTTTTTCTTTTGATGGGTGTTAGGTTGTATGGGGGAGGATTTAAGGTGGGGTCAGCATGGGGGTTGGGGGGGTGAACACAGGCTGCTGTTGCATGCTCTGCATTCCTCAGGTGTTGCAAGCATAGCATGTTCAGTGGTCATCCTGCTGGAAAGCCGCTTATTTGCTTGGAAATCAAAGGGCATCAAGCGGGGAAGCCTTGTAGGACTGAAAAATAGATGAATAGGTGTTCCATTACAGCATTATGCAATACTAACTTTGTTTAAAAACCCACCAGCAAAAGAATACTGTTGTGAATTACAAACACATGTACTTTACAGAAGCAGACTTAAAATCTTCATCTTAAACTATTTGTTTAAGGTTTATCTGCAAATGGGCTAATGGTTGCAGCCGTCAAAGTCAGGCATGCAGATCTGGTGTTGCGATGCAGATTCAGTTGAACTATTACACTCAAGATCTTGCTTAAGGAGAGTCACTTCTTGCAGTTTTTTCTTCTGCATGCCCCACGCTTTATTTGTATTATATATTTTAGGCCGCTGCTGACACTCGGATGAAAGTGAGAGCAGGTTGTGGAAGTGTCTGCGATCACTTCTACCCCCTCCTTTGCCCTGGTCTGTCTCCTTGGCTGGCCTGCTAAGAGCTGAGGGATTGTGTGCAGATGTGCTTGGAGAAAGGCCAGCCCCTCTGCCCTGGGAGAACATGTGGTCTGGGAGTGTTTACGCTGGCGCTCTTTCAAGCTGTCTCCTACAGAGCATGCTGGCGTCTGTCTCTCTTTGCTTGTCAGTGCTCAGTCACCCCCCTGTAACAAAGGGAGCATTCTCAGGTTAAGGTGACACCAGCAATTATGCTCGTCTGTAGCATTGACAAACAGGACGGACCGCGAGCCTGCTGATAACGGCAGTTAACTTGAATCAGAGTTTTCTTGTCTAGTTATTTTAAAAGGACTACTGAGAGGCATGTCCGTTTTGAAAAAGAACATTATACTTCGCTGTAGCATTTGCAGTTTTACCGAAACGTTTTTGGAGTAAATAGATTTTGAGACATATCAACCAGATTTTCTCAGATTCTTCGCATGCTTCACATTCTTTCATGCAATTCAGGCTTCGAAACAAACATCTCTAAAGTGAAAACCACTTAGTCGATCCTCGACTTCAGGGACATCAGAATCACAAAGTAAAACAGACTCCTGTTTTTTTTTTTTGTTTTTTTTTAATGTTTTGACAAAATCTAGATAGAATGTTGGCACGCATCGCAAATGCCTACAAAGAGGAAAAAATATTTGAACATTTCCCTTATTGGCTGTGTTATGAGAAGATCTCTGCAGGTGTTTTAATCAGAAATCAGACATCTGTCCCTGAATTTCTAACACTTGAAGCAATATTGATTCAAACATGTATGTTGGTTTAATTTTGATGTTAGTAAAATGACTGAAATCGCACTCCTGAATGTATTATGAGCACACAGCGCCCTCTGTCGGTTGAGCTTATCAGGCGACTCAAAATTCTTTCAGAAAATTAGAACATTAAGTCACAGTTTTCTGATTAAGCTTGCATAAATTAGATTTAATTTCTACAATCCCTTCTTTGCTTGAACTTACAAAACAATCCAAATCAATCCAACAATCCAATACAAACTTGCAAAAGGCAATATTACAAATTAATAAATATCTACACCTTCTCAGATATTTATCAGTAAATTACACAAGCTGTCAACACTGTGAGGTGAAGGTTGTTTTGAAATATGTAACACTTCTGTAGCTAATAAAATAGAGCAGTTGCAGCTGGTTATTCAGTTGTTTAACTTTGTGGTAATGAAATAACCCTAACCATAACACTAAATAATTTTATCTAAGATTTGTTCCAAACAAATAAAATGTTCTAATTCAAGCTATCAGCAGCTGTGGTTAGCATAGCCAAAACTCAAGTAAGAGTAGCACTACTTTAAAATATTCCAAACTTGTGTAAAAATAACAAGTAGCTTTATAAAAAAACAACTCAAGTGTGTAACAAAGTATTTGGTGAAAAGGCTACTCAAGTACTGAGTAACTGAACATAAAATCTGTGTATAAAA